CACACACCCCTGCCCAAGCAGAGGGAAATTCTGATGACTGTCTTTGTAAGCCAGACTCCAAACCTGGCCAGACTTGTAGGGTGGTGGGAATGGCAGAGCCAAATGATGAGGCGAGGGACTGTCTTGCTCTGGGGATGGAAAGGGGTCCCAGGGCCTTCTCTCCTGGGGGGCAGCTCTGATCTGGCCCCAGCACATGGGATATCCACTGGGCCAGAGCTAGAGAATGGGACGCGGGGACTTTCCCTTTATACCCACATGACGGCAACACTGCCAAATGTCCCTTCTTGTTAGAACTGAGCACTTCCTTCCTCCTTTTGGGAGAGACGCCCCCCCACTGCCCACGTCACCCCCCGGGTACCTGCCCCTCCCTGGGTCCAGGTGAAAAGCCAAGTTCTGAACAGGCTGTGGGCAGGGCAGGCTCCTCTCTACCCTGGGCCAGGTGAGACGTGGTGCAGGGATGTGAGGAGCGTGGCCACTCAGCGTCTTCTGGGTTTCCTGGCAGAGGGCAGGGCCCTGTGCAGGTGCTGAAAGGATCTTGCCACCAATGGGTGGTCCCAGCCCATGGCCACACTCCCCAGTCCCTGCGGGTCCCTGAGGGAGGCTGGGCTCAGCGCCAGTCCCACTGGGATTCTGCTGGTGGCAACAGGACCCCAGTGCTCCAGGCCCTGCATGGGGAGCAGCCAGCCAGAGCTTGAACATCCAAGTAGCCTGCTGGCCAATGCCCCCACCTCTCAGCCTGCTCCCTGCTCCACCACGCTCCACTCCTCCCCCAGTGCCTGGCTATGGAGCCCGGCGGAGCAGACAGTTACTGACCGGATCTCAGGCATGGAGCTGGGATCGGGGTGGAAGTAGATGAAGTAGCGGTACACGTCCAACTTGGCCCCCTTGGTCTCGGCAATGTCCCTGGAGGCCTCGTACAGCCCGTCACGGAGCCCTGCAGGGGGCAGTGATGGGCCGTGAGCCATGTGGACCATAGGGGAATGGTTATGAGAAAAGGGCCCATACATGTGGGGAGCCCAGCCTGGCTCAGGGGGGCAGGGGTCTGAGCTACCAAATCCACCTGCCCCAGGCTTGGGGTTTGGAGCAGGACAGGACAGATGCTCAGTATCTGGGGGGCTCTCCCCGGTGGAGTGGGCCCCACGTTACCGTGGATGCAGAAGGCCTGGTCCCAGTTGATGGCGCTGCCCAGCAGGGCCCGGCAGGCGCCCAGGTCCCGGTAGTGCACTGCATACGTGTTGGTGTAGAAATCAGAGTCGTCCGATGCCACCTGCCGGGAGGAAATATGGACCCAAAAGGGAAACTCCTATGCAATAACTGATCTGCCTGCCCCCCTTTGCAATCCTGGCCCCTTCTCCGCGGTTCCCTAGAGGTGAAGGGCTGCACATCTCAATCCCAGCCTCAAAGCCAGCCTTCCCCCTGAGGGCCCTAGTAGAGTAAAGATCTAAATCAAATTCCTGTCCCCTCCCTGAGCCAACCTGTCTCCCATTCTATGGCCCCTACAGAGGAAACACCCCAGGTCCCATTCCATGCTGTTCTCCCAGATGCAGAGCTCTGGCAGTGGGGCTGCACCTCTCTGTGTGGCCGGATAAGGACAGCTTTGAATTCGGGCCATGAATCCATCAGCACCTCATGCCCAGCCAGGTTCCCGCGGTTTATGTTCATCACGGCACCATGGACCTGTGAGAGACAGAGACAATCCTGCGCTCCCAGAACTGGAAGGCACCCTGAGAGGCCATTAAGCCCAGTCCCCTTCACTCATGGAGGGATTGAGCACCACTTGGATGTATTGGGGGTCACAGGCACGGGAGAGGCTTCAGTTCCAGCTTTTACTGCTCTGTCAGGAGCCTCCCAATGTTTACTGAAGGGTTTCAGCATCTCGTGAGCCTCTGCACATTGGGGGAGATTTTGCCCTTTTGAAAAATATCCTTTGTCTTCCATTACTGCGTATGGGGCTGACACCACAGGCTGCCCTTAGTGAAGATGGTCACCACCCGTGTTCCCTGTAAGCTGTGCATTTGTGCAGCCACTTAGGAGTAATGGAAATTCTTCCCATATGGTTAGCAGAGAGCCCACAGGTAGGGGCTCAGGGCACCGGGAATGGCCCGAATTGCGCACCAGCTAAAATATTAGAGGGCACATTGGCCGCCACCTCACAATGATTTCAGTGGGCTAAGGTCAGGGAAGCTGGTTGTCCCAGGCTCTGAGAGCCAGAGGTGGGAGATCTGGGAATCGTGAATAGCAGCGTGGAGAAGGGGCAGTGAGGGGTGGGGAGGGACAGCGGAAGGCACTAGGGGTTGGGCTGATGGACAAGGAGGGAAAAGGAGGATGGGGACATGGGCCGCGCTGTTTCTAGCCACCCTGGGTTCACTCTCCTAATTTTTGGGTCGGATCCTGCTGTGTGGCCCCTGGGCTTATACTGCAGGGGAGACCCTGAGTGTGTGTGTGTGAGCGCGGGGACAAATGGACTGTGATCCCTCCACATACTCACACACATTTGAACCATGTGAAGGGCCTGGAGTCAAGGAGGGAGCCAGAGTGACCAGCTTGCTAAGCGTTTGGCACTGAATCCGCCTGTGCAATGATTGCTTCATATGGCAAGAATCTACCGTATGATTGACTGGGGGGGACGTCCCGCTGGCTATGCTGGGTGAGCAGCAGAAATAGGTTCTGGGTTTGGGTTTTGGGAGACAGGAGATGTGGGTGGGGATGGGGTAATCGAAAGAGCAGCCAGAGCGGGAGAGGGTCCTGCCTGCAGCCAGCCAATCCCTGCCCCATCCCTGGCAAGAGAGAACTTTCTGCCCCACTCCCATTACTATCCCAGGAGGTGCCGTGTGGGGGGAAGGCAGGTCCATTTCACCAGCAGAGTCTCCGGCAGGCTCCTCTGCAATGTCCCCTGCAGCAGCCGCAGCTTGGAGGAGCAGCTCAGGATCAGCATCTCCGGTGGGGTTGGGCCCTCGGCAGCTTCCAGCAATAACTGCGCACGGGATGCCCTGGTGGACACAGACACATCAGTTCCCTGCAACCTCCCTGCTCCCACCTCTCTGGATACTCACAGCGTGTCTGCAAACACCCAGACCTGCCCAAATAGCCAATCCTATTTGCTGACCCCACCATAAGAAACCAGGCGGATGCAGCTCCGGTGCCTGGGCGTTGTTCACACTATTGCACCAATGGCTGTTTTCTCAGAGCAGCATTTCCTGAGGGTTTTCCTCTCCCCTACGGATCAGAACTTCCCTGCAGTTAATCCTGGAGCTTTTCACTTTAAAAACCCCTTTTCCTGAGAATTTGTCACTTGGACGTTCCCAGACCCAAGCAGTGGTGGGTCAGGACCTCGACTGGACAATTCCCTTTGAAGAGAGAACAAACCTTCCCACTATTTCCCCCACTTTTTTGAGCTGTGTTTGTCAGGGTCAGGACCCTCCCAGAACACACTAGTCTGGGTGCAGCGCCCTGCTCACCATAGACCCTACAACAATAACACCCCAGGGCAGGACTGGGCAGGCCTAGGGTATACCTAGTAGCTCCCACTCACCTGGGCAGTCTCAACACTGGGATAAAATGCAGCTCCAAAGAAGTTGGAGGGACAGGGAGCTCATGGCGCAGTGAGGTTCCTGCTGGACAGAAGCTGGTTCTGTCCCTGCTGGTCTCTCTCTCGGGGGCTGTTCTGACATTTTATACCCGACAAATGAACCATTAACAGAGTCTGTGCCTGGCTGGGAGCTGGCCCAGTCATGTCCCTACACTAGCAAGGCAGGGTCAGGCTCCTTCCATGGGCAGAGGGGGAGAGGTGATTTCCTGGGGCTAGTGGAAAAGAATGCTGAGGAGACATGAGCACGGCCAGGAGTGGGGCGCAGCTGGTTCCTTTTGAATCCTGACCCACGTCCCCGGCGATCTCAGCTCTGGGCTCTCCCATGGCAGCTCCTGCCTCACTCTGTGTCTCTTAAACAGAAGCCTTCGCTATCGTAACCGTAGCCAACCTGGTGCTCAGCTGGCGTATTGTATGAAATCATTCAGCAGCTGCTTTGCTGTCTCCAGATCCCTGGCCTGGGACAATCCTGCAAGTACGGGGCCCCTGAGCAGCGTGACGGGTCCATGGATTGCGGTGGGTTGGCATCTGCAGGAGTGCACCCATGTCGATGATGCAGCTTGGGACAATAGCTGCATACACCTCAGTGGGTGCTCCCAGCACCCCTCATCTGACCAGTACTCAGGCGCCTGTGCCATGCACCGAGCCTGCCTGTTCTCAGCTCCACACCCTACTCTAGTGGTGTGATTTAGGCGCATGCTGCCAGAACATCTGTGCTCTGTTCCCTGCCAGGGGCACAAGGCTTCCCTAGATGTTGGCTCGCACGAGGGGCAGGGAAAGCAGATTGGACACCCCCTAGAGGGCAGTGTCCCCCAGATCCCAGCACACATGAGGGGAGACAAGTGTTCAGACACCGCTGTAAAGAGCAATGGAACTGCAGGTTCTGGCACCTGCATACAAGCATGGAGAGCGGCTCACATCCCCCTTAAGCTGGAGGGACCGCAGGATTCTGAGTGAGGCCTCAGACACCCCCAAAGGCCAGAACCTCCCAATCCCAGAGCACATATTAGAAGAAAGAAAGTGGCTGATACTCCCGCCCCTTCCTTGCCATTATCATATCACCCCTCCGAATATCCAACTCCCTCACCTGAACCCCCTAATGCCTCTGATCTCCCCATATACCCTAACCTTTGCTTCAGCCCCAGATTGCTGTACCCCTATTCCCTCTGCCTGCTAATTCTCCCACCCCTCACTCACGTTACTAGATTAAGCGTTGCCTGCGTAATTCTCTCTCCTGCAGGTACAGTTTCCCCAAAGGACAAGATTAGAACTCCTTTTAGCAGGGGCAGTATGTCACAGCGGGAACAGCTCATTCTCAGACTTCTGCCAAGGGTCAGAGGTGACCTTACAGCCATTTAACCACCATGGGGCTGTAACACCTCTGAGCTGAAAGGGGTGCCAATGTAGACGTAGCCTTTTGGTTTAACTCCATAGCAAAACTCCATAGCCCATTACAGATAAATACAAGGGCAGCGTCTATATTGGCATGATTTTCCAGAAATGCTTTTAACGGAAAAGTTTTCCGTTAAAAGCATTTTCGGAACAGAGCATCTAGATTGGCACGGACGCTTTTCTGCAAAAGCACTTTTTGCGGAAAAGCATCTGCGCCAATTTAGACACGCTTTTCCGCAAAAAAAGCCCCGATCGCCATTTTCACAATCAGGGCTTTTTTGCGGAAAATAAATCTGAGCTGTCTACACTGGCCCTTTTGCGCAAAAGCTTTATGCAAACGGGACTTTTGCCTGAACAGAAGCAGAACAGTATTTCTGCAAGAAGCACTGATTTCTTACAGTAGGAAGTCAGTGCTTTTGCAGAAATTCAAGCGGCCAGTGTAGACAGCTGACAAGTTTTTTTGGAAGAGCAGCTGATTTTCCAGAGAAACTGGCCAGTCTAGACACAGCCCATGGATACATCTACACTGTGAGAGAAAGCTGAGTTTACAAAGGCAACTTCAGCTACGTTATTTGCATAGCGTTGCTGAATTTGAAGTAGCTTGACTTGACATTTGACAGTATCTTTGACTTTCCTTACTACTCACGAAATGAATTACAGACGTCAGAGTTAGAAATCCTTTATTAAAAATTAGATTGAAATAACATGAGTGTAGATTCGCACTCGCTCATTTCAAAATAACACGAGTTATTGAAATAAGCATGCAGTGTAGAACTAGGCTATGTGTTTAGGACTTAGGGTAGATTCCGCCCCGGGAGCCTGTTATGGAGCTGCAGTAGCTGGCCCCAAGAATAAGGGCTTAGCAAATTCATGGCTGTGAAAAATGAATTTGGGAGCATGAATTCTGGTCTCCTCCATGAGGCCCTTGCTGTTGTAGGGAGGTTGCAGGATTGTCACCCTTAGCTTTCTGTAGCTGCTGGCGCCAGCACTTCATTTAGAAGGTGGGCAACCGACTTGGAGAGAAGCAGCTGCTGACCAGGAGCCCAGCTCTGAAAGCAGGATCCCTGCCAGGAGCAGCCTCGTTAGCACCTCCTCAACTAAGGGTGCCAATTTCATGATTCCCCCCCTGACTCCCATCACAGGGCGGGCACTTTCCCTCCCCCTCTTCCCCTCTGGCACCTTCCACTGGTTACTCCAGGAATTGGCACTCCTGCCTCGGAGTGCCCTTTGCTGGTTGGTGTCCCAGGCTCTGGGGCAGGTCTCCTGCTGGTTCAGCTCCGAGTCCCTCCTGACCACAGTAGTGGACACACTTGATCTCAGATGGCGGGAGGGGTGAGGGGGCGGGGCTGGCCAGGGAAGCGTTGGTGGTGTGAGGAGGGAAGCATCCAGCGGGAATGAGGGCCGGCCGGAGGAGAACCAGCTGCCAGGGAGTGGGGCTAGCCGGGGATAGAGGGGAGCGAGAGGGGGAGAACTGGCCAGCGAGAAGCGGGACTGGCCTGGCCGCAGGCAGATCCCCGGGTGCTGCCCATCTGGCGCATGGTCCCAGCAGGGCGCATGGGCGAGTCTGGCCCCAGGAATTCCATACCGCCCCAGCCCTATCCCACCCCACCCCTCTCTTCTCTACTGTGCAGTTGCGTACTGTCTGGCTGGTAGCGTGTCTAACCGACAGTCAGTACAAAACTCCGTACTGATACTCATGATAATAATAAAACCTTAATTAGAAAATCCTGGACATTTATATGTCTGGTATTTTCTCAATTTGTTTCCCGG